CAAACTTAAGCAATAAGGAGAGAATATTGAGATGAACAATGCAGACAAATTTCAGACATAACATTTGAAACATTAGAAAGGGTGGCCAAAAAGTACCAGGAAATTTCCCTTAACAGTAAAACATATTAAAATATAACTTTGTGACTAAAAATACAGATTGGAGTATATCACAAGGTCCCTTCTCATTTCTACATTTTTTTTACATATAACTAAGAATCTTTATTATGAAAATATTGAGACATTATTTTGTAAAGCATGTTAAATCTATAAATTATAAATAATAATGTTATCCATAATATTCAATATTTGTTTTCTTGAGGGACGCACCTACATTTTGCTTCTAATACACACTTTGCCTTATTTTCATACTTCTAACTTTTCTCTCTGACTTTTCTATTCTTTCATTTCAGAACTTAAAAAATCCAAGAAGAAATGCCCATTGTGTTGGTATAGGATTGCAAAACTTTTCCTGATATGGGACTGTTCTCCTTGTTGGTTAAAATTGAAAGAGTTTGTTCACAGGATTATAATGTACCCGTTTACTGATCTTGTCCTTGCTTTATGCATAATTTTAAATGTATGTTTTTTGGCCTTGGAACATTATCCAATGAGTGAAGAAATCAACAGTCTTCTCAGCATTGGAAACCTGGTAAGACTCTGGCTATATCTTTTCTTCATTTGCAGTTTCAACATTTCTTTATTTCTCCTTATCACCATTGCTTTATGATTCTGATAGGTTACAGCATGTTTTATGATTAGATAAAGTATCGCATTCATGCTCTGTGCCCTATGCTTTGTAAATATTCCTAACACTGAATAGTTGGACACCTAGAATTTAAAATTCTGCCATTTAACTTTCAGATTCTCAGCCAGTTGCTTGGCAGTCGAGTGGAAATTATTTACTGAAATTAATTACCTTCCCAAATGCACAGTCTCTTGGCACCATTACCTCATTGATCAGAGTAGGGTAGATGTGAAATGACAGATACATATGAATGTTTCACTGACACCTGAATTCTGAAATCCAGACTACAACAGCCCGTGGCCTTGTCTGTTCTAACCAAGGTCTATCTTTGCCTTAGATTGGAGCCTATCATATTGGCCACTTATTTTTGATATTCACCTGTCCCCTTTCACATACAGTGCAGATTTCTGTGAATTTAAAAATAAGTCACATTGAAGCAAATGCATATTGTTTAAGTTTCTTCGTTTTTATGATTTTTGTTGTTTAGTTGCTTAGTGCCTAGTACTAATACAAATAGCAAACCAATACCACTTTCAATTTATACATTTGCTTGGTAACGAAACATTGATTTTGTTATTTATGCCAGTATTGTTTTTAAAAGTCAATTTCCATAGGTATGGAAAGATTTCCATTCTCAACTATTGTTTTATTTTCTTCGAGGATGGTTTTTATCAAAATAATCAAAGAGTTTATATTCAGTATTAGATATGGGTTATATGAGTCCGTCCTTGTAATGCAGACTCTAAAACTAACCATAGCTTGACAGAGAAACTGTGAATTACCACTGTGTGAGTTACGGTTTGTGTATGAAGATACTGATACAGCTATTGAAATTCTATTCTCATCCATATTTTTATTTTTATTTAGGTTTTTATCGGAATATTTACAGCAGAAATGATTTTAAAAATAATCGCCATGCATCCATATGAGTACTTTCAAGTAGGTTGGAATATTTTTGACAGTGTAATTGTGTTCCTTGGCCTAACAGAACTTTACCTAGCAAATATTCAAGGAATCTATTATTTTCGATTATTCAGGATGGTAAGTAGAATCCCAGAATTAATTTTTATTTTATCAGAGTTTGTCTGTTTTATCAAACATAAAAAGAGGGATAGTAATAGCTATTTCATTGGGATTTTGGAAGTATTAAATGAACTAATTCACATGTAAAGAGGTTAGTGCCCTGAGAAAGAGTAAGTGGTCTCCAATGCTGTTATCTGAACACATCATTAAAGGAAATACGCCCATATGTGCTGCAAATTGGAGCTATAGTTCTAGGAACCAGGGTCAGTTTTGAACTAAGTTTGAAAGCAAGAAAATGAAAAGTCCCAGAAGTGAAATGCTAGTATGTGACTAAGTAACTGCATCAGTACGTATTTCTAATTGTAGGGTAGGAAAGACCAGTCAGACCAGCAAAATATTATGATAAAAATTATTAGGTCAGAACCAGAATATGTCTACAAAGTAGGGTGATGGTGAGATTCAGAAAGTCAGGCCAATAATGTAATTAGAATGGCATTTATGGGAATGTTAAATATTTGATAAGTAATGTATTGTCACATTCTGGTGACAGGTTGAAGAGATGTCACAGGAATTAAGAACAATTAATTACATTTTTTTTTGCAGTTTTTGACCAGGGCCAGGTTTGAACCCACCACCCCCAGTATATGGCGCCAGCGCCCTACTCCTTTGAGCCACAGGCGCCACCCAATTAAATAGATTTTTATCTTATCTTAATAATTACTTCCTAGAGAGAAGTTTCTTCAGAACCTGGTCTTAGATCCTTATTCAAAAACTTTTCCAATGAATAAGAGAAATATATACAGAATATGGTCATCAAATTATGGATGAAACAAGATTGGCAAATGTAAGAGATACACCAAAAGATAGTATTAAAATATCTTAAATGCTAATATTGGGCTGACTTTAAGGTGATCAAATTTTACATGGATAAATGTAAAGCTTTTCTCTTGAGTCCAGGAAGCAAATTACCCACTAGAAAAATTCAGGAAGACATAGAACATGCAAAGATGAAGCATGAGCTGTAACTTTACCGTGACACAGTGACCAAAAATGTTAAAGTAATTTTATGCTGCGTAAATAGAAATAAAAGTCTCGTGAAAAGAAAGGGAATATTTAGACTGAACCTAAAATGTTGTTTGGTCTTTGATGTGTTATTTTAAGGGAAAATAAATAATAGGACCTTCAGTAGAATTCAGTAGATCCTGACAGATTTTCAACATCATCTGTGTGTCAAAATGTAGAAAAAGTATCCAATGCATTTTAGAACCAAAAAAAAAAGAATGGGCACTGGCTTACTAAATATTAACACATAAAACTAGAGTAATTATAATAGCCTAATATTGAATGGGAATTGCCATATACATCAATTGAAAAGGATAGGTTTAGATTTAATTTACAAAATCATAGATTATGTGAGATGCAGTGAGTTGTATGTAAAGTGAATATTAAGAGATTCATATTAATAATGGTTAAAACCTCAAAGGACATATGATACTGATAAAATTTTTAAAATTCACATCATAATAAATAATGACCAGGTTTCTCATTCTTGTTTTTCATATTGTTCTATTAGTTGCGAATTTTCAAGTTGGGGAAATATTGGCCAACTTTTGAGAATCTGATGCTGACTCTTACCAACTCAGTGGCGGCCCTGGAAGACCTGGTTCTGCTGTTGTTCACGTTCATCTTCTTTTCTGCTGTACTTGGCATGAAGCTGTTTGGTCAGAGTTACAGAGAAGGTGTCTGTCACATAGACAAAGACTGTCAGGCCCCACGCTGGCATATGTATGACTTCTTCCACTCCTTCCTGAATGTGTTCCGCATGCTCTGTGGAGAGTGGATAGAGACCTTATGGGACTGCATGGAGGTCGCTGGCCGACCTTGGTGTATTTCTTTTTATATGATGGTCATTTTAATTGGAAACTTACTGGTAAGTAGTCGATGCTTTCACATTTTCTTTCATAACTGGTATAAGATATTCTGATATTTTCATGGTGTGAATTGATAGGATCCCATGATCTACCCAATTTGGTGACCAGAAGCCACGTGTAGCTATTAGCTGCTAAAATATAACTGGTTCAAATTGAAATGTACTATGAAAGTAAAATATACACTGGGTTTAAAGTTTTACCTGAATTGAATGTAAATTATTTCATTAATAATGTTTATAATCGGGTGCATTTTAAAATGTTAATACAATAGTCCTCCCTTATCTGTTTCATTTGCTGCAGTTTCAGTTAACCATGCTCAACTGTGGTCCAAAAACATCCAAAGGAAAATTCCAGAAATAAACAATTTATAGTTTTAAATTGCCTGCTATTTTGAGTGACATGGGGAAATCCTCCTCCATCCTATTCTTTCCTGCTCTAGACATGAATCATCTCTTTGTCCAACCATATCCACGCTCTTTATGTTACCTGCCTGTTAGTCATTTGGTAGCTGGCTGGGCTAGCAAGTTTCAGGCATCCTCTGTGGGTCTTGGAACATAATGAGAAGGGAGACTAAAGTTATATGTTTAGTTAAATAAAATGCATTGACATCACATGCCTTTATTCATGGTTTTTTACGTAGTTTCTGTTAATTTAAAATTGTATATGCAATTCGCGTGATATTTCTAATGGGTAGTACTAGTTTATAACCTTGCTACTTGATGTACCATTGACATCATGTGGGAGGTGGTTAGAAATGCCGACTCTATGATCCCTTCTCAGGCCTGTGGAAGAAAACTCCACAGTTTCACCAAGTCTTGGGCAATTTGTGTGCACATTAAATTTTAAGAAGCACTTAAATGTAAATTTGCCTGTGCACTGGAGTTACCTGAGGAAGTAATAAAAGTACGCTGATGTGTTGGATCAGTTCCCAGAGAATGTGATTTTACTGATATGAAGACATGGTCTGATCATCAGGTTTTGTTTTTTAATCCTCAGTTGATTTAATTGTTCAGCAAAGATTGAAATTCACCGGTTTATAAAAGTGTTATGCATTAGCTAAGGGAGAAAGCATTCACTTTTAAATTTCCCAATGATTGAAGTGGTGTTACATGAATTAAATAAGCTTTCACTGCTTCTAAGAGATGATATGGCTTATAAAAGAAAAGGCCTTACTGGAAGTGAAAGACTAGCATTTGTATTTTATTCACATGTCATAATGATCAAGTACATTTCCCAAAGACTTAAAAAATTCCTGCAGGTTAGACTCAGTCTCATCTGTGCCTTCCTCATTGCTTCTGTTTCACCTTGGGGATATCCTTGACATACACTTATCATTTGGCATTGTTAATGTACTTGTCTGTCTTCTTTATTGTAAGGAAGCTCCTCGTAAGCTGTAAGCTTGTAAACTGTAAGCTCCTTGAGGGAAGGGGCTATAACTCTTCTCTATATCACAAAGCCTAGAATATGTATCAAACATGTAAAAATACTTCCATATCCCGTCTTTGTCTCTATTACTAGTACACTTTCAACTCCCAGTGATGTAAAATATTGTTCTAACTTGCTGAAAAAAATGATCATATAAATCAGTATACATGGCTCAAAATATGAGGGGGAGAAAGAGATCTTGCTTCAGCTATGGCATGGCACAGATGTTCAAAGGAGATTATTAAAGGAAAGATTCTTTAGAATGTCTAGATTCTTTATATTCCTTTCTGGCTGGTATCCCTTGTTTTATCAAGATGTCTGCTTCAGTCTCAAGCTTCACATTTTTGTATCACATCAGGTCCAGCAGAAGGCAGATTTTCTTTCCTAGAGGCCACAGCAAACTTTTCATTAGGTCTGAGTCGCATGCCCATTTTTGAACTAATTTCTATTGCCTGGGGTGTGGAATACATTTAGTATGGTAAGCCATTTATAGCTCTCCCTTAGAACTGGAGATGGCATCAGACCAAACCCAATCATGTGACTAATAATGGGATAGGAGTAATTTGCTCAAATTAAACGTACATTTCTGTTTCCAAAAGGAATGGCCGGGGCTGTTGAGAAAAGCAACAACAAACACAGAGTTCAAAAGCAAAGGAGCAGAAATGTTGAGGAAAATAGATATATTAAAATAAATTTAAATTATAAGTAATATAACATCTCAATGTTTCTTTGTCTTTGCTTTTGAATTCTATTCCTTTTTTTTTTTTTTTTTTGCAGTTTTGGGCCAGGGCTGGGTTGAACACACCACCTCCGGCATATGGCACCCGGCGCCCTACTCTTTGAGCCACAGGCACCGCCCATTCTATTTTTCTAATTCATAGTGACTTGAAACTTCAAGACACTATTCAGGAGAAATTCAGAATAAAATGAAGTTACATGAACTTCCATTTCCAAATGGTTGGCCATCATATTACTTGTCTCACTTGTGGAAACAGGTGCATTGCTTGAGCTCAGTAGTTCAAGACCAGCCTGAACAAGAGTGAGGCCCTGTCTCTACTAAAAATTGAAGAAAACTAACCAGAAATTGTGGTGCACACCTGTAGTCTCATCTACTCAGGGCACTGGGACAAGAGGATCGCTTGAACCCAAGGGATTGAGATTGCTATGAGCTATCAAGATTTCATGGCACTCTACACAGGGTGAAAGAGTGAGATTCTGTCTCAAAAAACAAACAAAACAAAATAAATAAACAAACAAAAAACCCACATTTCTTGCCTGAAGTGACAATTCATTTTCTCATGCTGAGACAGCGGCTCAGTGAGAAAATAAGTTGTGGAATAAGGCAGATTTGAGTCTAATCTGTGTGATCTTTGATATTTGATGTCTATTACGTTTGCATTTTTATGTATAAAAGAGAAACAAATCATATTACATAGGATGTTGTGCATTTAGGGTGCATTCTGGGTATACAAACCCCTGGTACAACACCTGACACGTCGTAGTTGAGTAAGAACTGACTGCTATTTTAGTTAATTTGTTCAGTTTCATAGCTCAGGTCAGCTTTTTAAAGAAATTATTTATTTTTTAGATTGACTATAAAATTGTATGTATGGTGTACAACATAGGGTTTTAAAGTATACATAGATTATGGAATGATTAAATATGGCTAATTAACACTTTACTTTTAGATAATTATAATTTTTGTGGTGAAAACACTTAATATCCACTCTCTAGAAGTAGAGAGCAGAGTGGTGGTTACTAAAAGCTGGAGTGGTTAATGGGGAGCAGGGATAGGGGGAATGTTGATCAAAGAATCTGTAATTACAGTTGCGTAAGAGATCTAGTGTGTGACACAGTAACTGCGGTTCATGACAATATACTGACTGGATTTTTGCAAAAATACTAAGTGAGCAGACATTAAGTGTTTTCAGTTCAGCTATTGCAAATATTTTTTGTTCAAAAGAAAACAGAATGAGCTGCATTTGGCCTCGTTTTACTTTCTCGTTTAGATACTTTACCTCTTTCTGGCCTTGGTGAGCTCATTTAGATCGCACAACGCTGTAACAACAGAAAAGAACGATGAAACAAAGAATCTCCAGCTCGCCCTGACAAGAATCCAAACAGGAATAAGCCACGTGTTTCTTAAAATATTGTGCAAAAAACAAAATATTCCGAAGGAGAGGCTGGACCATGCCCTTTCTGAACTGAGCAACACCCAAGATTTCCTCACGGATAAGGAGAAACACAGTGGCACAGAGAAAACCACGGTGACGGAAAATGAGAGTCAATCACCTCTCCCCAGTCCTAGTGTCTCAGAAACTGTGCCGATTGCTTCGGGAGAATCGGATATAGAGAATGTGGATAATAAAGAGATTCAGAGCAAGTCAGGTGATGGAGGCAGCAAAGAGGTAAGATGTTCTGATGTCCTGAGTGCTTGCTGACGTGTGGTATTGGTGGGAAGGAAGTGCCACAGTGCTGTGGTGCCACTGGCAGCTCGCCCATTCAATCCTAGCTCCTGACTTTATGCTTTTGGTCAAATTACTTAAACGTTCTAAGCTTCAGTTTTGTCATTTGCAAATGAAGAGAAAATTATACTTACACCTTAGGGAGAATATAAAAATTAAGAAAAATAGTTTAATAGGACATAGAACAATGTCTAGTATATAGTGAGCGCTTAGGGAACATTAGGTAATGTAATTGTAAAATTTTGTAATTAATAAGCAGGCAGTTGGGGGTTACAGAAAGCATATTGAGGGAACAGTTTTGCTTGCTTTTTTTTTTTTCTTGCAGTTTTTGGCTGGGGCCAGGTTTGAATCCGCCACCTCCCGTATATGGGGCTGGCGCCCTACTCCTTTGAGCCACAGGCGCTGCCCTTTTTCTTGCTTTTTAAAATTCTATTAGTTCATTTCCACAACATATATTATAGCATTATATAATTAGGTTGGACTAAAATAATAATAATAAAAAACCCATTCTTGGAACCCAGCAGATCTCTGACATTTCTGACCATCTTATTTCCTGACCTCTTCTGATTTGACTGACACTCTCTGAAATAACTTTGCAAATTGGTCTGTTAACGGGAGTTCAGTTTCAGTTATTCAAGGTCCTTCTAGCATCTACTGAATGTGTCATAGTTTTAGTTACAGACACATTTTCCCTCTACATAACCAGTTCATTTACCTTTAATTAATACCATTACTCAAAAAGAGGGAAAACTTCCTCCCCAGAACACTTCTCTCCCTTCACTGAAGACCCTGACTACCGTACATTTCTGGGTGAAATTGCTGTTTACCATAGCAAATCATGTTGGAGGATCCCCAGATACCCTTTGCCTATCCCTTCAGAAAGGCTGAAGAATGAAAGTATGTAAGAAAGAGGTTACTTGAAATAACTATACATGTTCACATTTTAGAAATTGTCATTTGTGCAGTATAATCATTTGGTCTTGGTTGGTTAATTACTCACAAAAGATTTATTCATTTACTTATGCAGTTAGTTATACATTTAATTTAATTAGTGAGCCACTTTCAAGATTTGTAGCCTGTGAGTTCTTAGAATGTTGATCTACCAAAAGCAAAAAAAAATATATAAAAACCACATATGATCTGATAATTCACAGATACAATAATCGTTTCTTTGTTATTTGCACTTACAGTCTTTCAAAATTATAAATATGATTACATATATTATAAAAAATATTAAACTTTATATCATGCTTTATGTGTTTTTATAATGCAGTAATCCATCGTGGTTACTTTATCATGCTGAATAATCTTCTACCAAAATAAATGAGTTGTAATTTTGAACCTTAATTTATTTACTTGTAAAATTAGAGTGATTCCTATTCATGAGATTTTTTGGAAAAATCACATCAAAATAGTTTGTGCTATTTTTCAAGAGGTTTAAAAAACTCTTAAAACCATACATGTAAAGTTTGTAACTTTAATTATTGGGTTCCAATAATTAAAATATTGTAATTATACTTCATTTGCTTGTTTATTGTTTACTCTCAAATAAATGCATTGTTAATAGCCTTTATTTCATTAGAATTAAATTTTATAAATGTAAAGTAAACTGAAATAATAAGAAGATCTGTTTATTTAAGAGTAAGATTCTGCTGGATTTTTTAAATTGAGAATTAATAATGACTTACTGACAGTCGATGCCATAAGTACTAAAGTAAACAAAACATTTTATTTCCCTGACACTTATTTTGCTTAAGACCAAGAGGTAGACACAATATTTATAATTACCTGTTTTTATTGCTTTCTACTTTACCAACACATTTTTCTTTAATAGTACTGGCTATATTCCAAATGCTTAAATGTGCTTATCTTGACTTGCTTTAATTAGAAAATGTTATTTATGTACTATTAACTTTAAGAACTGAATGATTTTAAAGGTTAATTTATTATATACTGGTTTTTAAATAAAGTATTGCAAGAAAATAATTTTAAGTAAAGGCAAAGCATATAATTTGCATTATTACCTGTGCAAAGCAATGACCACCTTGTCCTAGACAGCCTTGAACTTTAACCAAGAGCAGAGTGGGAAAGAAAGTGAGTCTTCCTCTAGGCTCTTTCCCTGGGGTTTGTGCCACCTTCCCAGGCGGGTTTTGTTCCTATTCATTGTGCCTTTTCCTCATCTCCCTTCATGATAAGCTCCTATCAGTCCCCTCCTATGATGACATACACAAGAGTGTTTCGACTGGATTTTATAATCAAAACTGAGAGCATAGATATTTACCCATCTTTAACATCCAGAAAGTATTTGTTTTGATGCTACTGATTTATTTGAAGTAGAATAGCATCAAGAAAGTATTTATTTTGATGCTACTGATTTATTTGAAGTAGCATAGCATCAGGAAAGTATTTGTTTTGATGCTACTGATTTATTTGAAGTAGCATACACATATGGGAACCTTGTAAGTAGCTTCAAGAAAACTTTAGAACCCCAATCCTCTTGTAAACTGAAGGTAGCCTATGTTTCTGTTAGAAGCAAAGTGATATTAAGTAAATGTTAATTTTTAATTAAAAATTATTTACTTTAATTGTTCTAAAATATTTTTTTAAAGTTCAACTTACACCAACGTGGATGCATTGGTTGCATTTTAATATCAGTTACTAAATCAACCACAAGTCTTTTAAATGTGATAACATTTTTCTGTATAAAATTATTCTTACTTCTGAAAATGAACTAACTTTTAGCTATAGGGAGTAAATCAAACTTTAATCACAATTTTTGGGGTGGGACTTTGCTTTTTAGAAAATAAAACCATCTAGCTCATCTGAATGCAGTACAGTGGATATTGCTATTTCTGAAGAAGAAGAAATGGTCTGCGAACATGATAGGCCAAAACATCTTAAAAATGGTAAGAAAAACATTTCCTTGGTAATTTTATTGAAATTAGACTACATTTCTCTTAACCTATGTAATACTATTGGATACACTTTAAATTATAAAGAGTTCATCAATTTGGCTAAGGGGTACACACATACATGTGTGTGCACATGAGTGTCCTTATAATGAGTGTGCAAAAATAATTCAACATTGTGTAAAGAGGGAAAGGATCTAAATTTTCTAAATTCTAATGAAGTAGTTAAGAGGGTTGACTCTGAAATCAGATAGCCTGAATTTAATTCCCAGTTCACCATTTACTTACCTTCTCTCTGATTCAGTTTCCTAATCTGTAAAATGAGGATTATAATAATTTAGCTCATGGGACTGTTAAAAATATCAAATTTGTGTACATACGGATGTGTGTATAATCTTAGAAGAGAAAGAGAACCTAGCCACAAAGAAAATAGCATCCAATAATATTATCAACATCATCATTATACTTCATTAATTTAGTGTTCAGAGATATTAATTGATATAGCTAATGCAGAACAGAGCTATGAGTAGTGTTAGGTGAGTAGAATATTATTGATATTGTTGATTCCTGACATATTTTTCATGCTATAAGTAACATTGGGCAAAATCATATAGTATTCATATTTAATTTTGTATTGGTAGCTGTGTAACTACATACATTAGAACAGAGTACGGTTTTGGAGTAAAAGAGAAAATCATTATAATTAAAGCAGTTTGGAAAATGCATATGTGTACTTTTATATATACATTTATCTGTACACACACATTCATGCATATACATCTTTATGTTGAAGGGGAATAAAATATTTTTAGACCTCATAGAATGGGGTCAACATTCAGAACACTCAGATGAAAATATCATCTAACTGTCATAGGAAAATAAATGCTAATCGTAACATTTATCTATTTAACATGAAAACTAAGACATATAAGGATTCATATAACATGTACCTCTTAAGGTCTTGGGATTCAAATTAGTTTTCTAGAAAAATGAGCTCATTACTGACATTTCAGACTTCCAGAATCACTGGAAAGTAATCAAAACAGTAACTGCTAAATGCTCAAATTTTTATCTTTTAAATAAGACTTTGTTCTCAGTAGCTTGAGTTTTAGGACTTGCATCATCTAAGACAAGGGAGGAAATATGTCCTGTATTTTTTTTTGGCCAGAGATGTGTGATTCAACACTATGCAAAATTTTAACATGAAATAGTTTGTCTTTAAACTTTATCCACTTCATCTACCTCCATTTCTTCTTCTTTCTTATCGGTTTCTCAATCTCTGCTCACGTCTCAAGTTTTCCTTCTGTTATCCCTCTTGTTCAGCACCACACAAGGGCACCTAGTTTCAGATAAAATCCCACTTCCAGGCAACTTAAGAACTGAAATCAAAACAATTTAATTGACTTAACTAACATGCCTCTTGATATCTTATATGTATTTATATGTATTTTCAAATGTGAATGCTTGTTATTCCATGTGAATCTTTACAGAGTGAATTTTCAGGCTTTATATCAAAATGTAACATTTAGTACATACACATTTTTTGGGCGGGGTGGGGACTAAGTGTATTCCCAGACTTTTTCTCAGTGAGAGGATGCATTACACATCCCTGCCTTTCACAACTTCTTTCCTCTAATGACTTACCAAACGTACAAGTTCATTTTTTCCATCTCTCCTCTATGATTGCGGTGGTCTCATAAATAAAAGACCACCTATATCAGAATATCTAAATCAATAATCACTAAAATAAATGGTAGAATGTTTGAAATGTATACTTTTTTATGAGTTTTCCACATTTTTAATTGTGGGGTACAGTGTGGTGTTTTCATATACAATTTGAAATATTTTCATCGGCTC